AGGAGTAGGAAGGAGAATATGTAACACAGGGGTAGGGAACAAAATATATAACACAGGAGTAGGGAGCAGAATATAAAACACAGGAGTAGGGAGCAGAATGTATAACACAGGAGTAGGTAGGGGAATGTAAAACACAGATGCAGGAAGGAGAATATATGACAAAGGAGTAGGGAGCAGAATGTATAACACAGGAGAAGGAAGAAATGTATCAAACAGGAGCAGGGAGCAGAAGGTATAACACAGGAGAAGGAAGAAATATATCAAACAGGAGCAGGGAGCAGAATGTATAACACAGGAGTAGGGAGGGGAATGTAAAACATAGGAGCAGGAAGGAAAATATATGACACAGGAGTAGAAAGCAGAATGTATAACACAGGAGAAAAAAGAAATCTATCAAACAGGAGCAGGGAGCAGAATGTATAACACAGGAGTAGACAGCAGAATGTAAAACACAGGAGCAGGAAGGAAAATATATAACACAGGAGTAGAAAGCAGAATGTATAACACAGGAGAAGGAAGAAATATATCAAACAAGAGCAGGGAGCAGAATGTATAACCCAGGAGCAGGGAGAAGAATGTATAACAAAGGAGCAGGAAGAAGAATAAATAACACAGGAGTAGGGGGATAATTTATAACACAAAATTTATAACACAATAGCAGGGAAAAGAAAATATTAAAAAGGAATGGGAGCAGAATATATAACATAGGAGCAGGGAATAGAATATAAAACACAGGACCAAGGAGCACAACACAGGAGCAGGGAACAGAATATACATCACAGGAGAAGGGAGCAGAATATATAACACAGCAGCAGGGAACAGAAAATATTACAAGGAGAGGGAGCAGAATATATAACACAGGAGCAGGGAGCTCAATACACAAGACAGGAGCAGGGAACAGAATATATAAGGCAGGAGCAGGGAGCAGAATATATAAGACAGGAGCAGGGTGCAGGATATGCAACACAGGACCAGGAAGCAGAATATATAACACAGGAGCAGGGAACAGAATACATAACACAGGAGCAAAGAGCAGAATATATAACACAGGAACAGGGAGCAGAATATATAACACAGGAACAGGGAACAGAATATATAGCACAGGAGTAGGGAACAGAATATATAACACGGGAGCAGGAAGCAGACAATATAACACAGGGGCTGGGAATAGAAAATATAACACAGGAGCAGGGAACAGAATATATAACATAGGAGTAGGGAGCAGAATATATCACACAGAAGCGTGAAGCAGAATATATAACACAGGAGCAGGGAACAGAATAAATAACACAGGAGCAGAGAGCAGAATATATATCACAGGTCTGGAGTAGGGAGCAGAATATATAACACAGGAGCAGGGAACAGAATATATATCACAGGAGTGGGGAGCAGAATGTTCACCACAGGAGCAGGGAGCTGTATATTTAACACAGGAGCAAGGAGCAGAAGATATAACACAGGAGTAGGGAGCGGAATATATAACACAGGAGTAGGGAGCAGAATATACAACATAGGAGTATGGAGCAGAATATGTAACACATGGGCAGGAAGGAGAATATGTAACACAGGAGCAGAGAACAGAATAAATAATACAGGAGCAGGGAGCAGAATATATATCAGAGGAGTAGGGATCAGAATATATAATAGAGCAGTATGGAGTAGAATATGGAGCACATGGGCAGGGAGGAGAATATACAACACAGGAGCAGGGATTATATAACACAGGAGTATGGAGCAGGATATACAAGAATATCATAATATAGTCAATATACTCTGGTATGCAGCCTTTTTAGTATTAGGGCATGACTAGCCTAAGGGCTTCCATGTTACCCTTATGATAATTGCAGTCACAGAGTGGTTTGCTAGTCTAAGAATTCCTTATGGTTTTAGTTTAGAATCAGGGGTTAGTTAGTAGCTGGAGTGATGGCATTCCACTCTAGGTTGTGTGGTATTACAGTTGTTAGTAATGATTTCTGGATCAAGACATCATGAAACCCTGGTCAGGGTTTTTTCTAGACAGGACATTGTAATTTACATTCACACAATCTTGAAGATAATTTAACTGTAAGTAAGCCTAACACAAAGCTGGGTGTGACCTGGAATGGACTTTTATTTCATCCAGGACTGGAATATATGTTGCATTACCTTTGAAGAACACTTACATGTATTTAGCTTTAACAAAATAAAAATAATAAGATGCAGAACAACTAATCAGCTGGTTTATCAAACCACAGGATGACTACCAGTAGGATTTGGATTGGGACATAATTATACCTGTACTAGAATCTAAATGTTGTTTTAACTACAGAAGAACTGTAGTGCAAATTACCTGTTTGAAGCTTCTGGACTAATTCATTCAATGCACTAAACTCAGCAGGTCTTTCTTTCTGCAGATAATTGTACCAATGAAATGGTCTCAAGGGAGTAGAAGTCTTTTCTTTGATCGCATCAGTATCAGGGCTGTCAGTGTCCTCTGTACAACTTAGAATTGCAGCAAGTAATCTTTTATCCAGGTTTTCCATCTTTATCAGTAAATCACCTGCCCAAAAAAATTGGAAGAACATTTTAATGCTGAGCAATCTGTGAGATGAAAACACCTTCAGTTTGAATACTTTCAATTACACGAACATTTAGCTCAAAATAAAAGACAGTGACATTAGGGGGATCCGATATTACAAGTGTGAACTTGTACTACCTAGCTCCATTTGGAGGCAGATCAAAATAAAGAAAAAAACTGAAGGGTCACTACATGCACTGTAAGTAGGCAATGGACTTAAATGGATTACAGTTCTTCTTAAAGGGAATTATCTAGACTACCCATGCAGAGGTTTCTGTTTATGATAAATAACATGTTTGCTTAATTATTTTAATTTAAAACAGCTCTGTTCAAAATATTATTCAGACACCAAGCAAGAACAAAATAAATATGAACATAACAATTCAATTTCCTAATTTTTTCAGGTATTTCTTCCATCTGTGCTTTACATTGGCATTCTCTATCAACCACATAGGGACACAACCTAGTACAATTAAAAGCAGAAACAAGTGGCTTACCACAAATTTGAATTAGATGGAATGCGTTCTGAAACATCGTCCAGTCTTCCCTGAATTCTTCACTTGGTTGGATGTCTACTTTAACATCCAAATCAAGGGAACATTCTTTTCTTAAACTTGAAATGCACTCATCCATACGTCCTGCATATGCACCAAAGAACTCCTGCATGTAGACAAGAGTGACTTCAACCACAACTTTTGTCAATATGTCATACAGTGTATACAGAATACTACACTTCACAGTCTTTGGGTCAATTTTTCCTTAGCTACAATGAGACTTCATGTAAGTTTGCTACTGTCAATATTATACTACAGTAGGTTGCCAGAGAAGCTGGAGGGGTTCTCACCTCCAAGACATGACAGAGACCATGTACAGCATAACCATCAGTGAGCTCCACACAATAATCAACTGCCTAAAGAAAAGAAAATAAATACCTAATACTTATAAAAGTTCTGCAACTAAATTACATACAGAAATACATGTGCAGTGTGTAACATCCTGATCCAAGGCATATGCTAAAAGCAAATGTTTGTGAGCAACAAAGTAGAACATCATTGGATCCCCAGGACAAACTCAATTTTGGCAGTATAGAACCAAACTATAAGGAAGCATTCAAAAATTACTGTTATTACACATACTTTGGAAATTTGATAGCTATATATTTAAGAAGTAGGACTGATTTACAGATTACCGCTGATGAGCACCTGACTTACCTGTTCAGCAAGGTGAAATATTTTCTCTACAGATTCAGCCATGAAGCCGGCAGTCTCCATGAAGCCATCTGTGTGCTGTGTGTTGCAAAGAAACACAAAAAACATAAGACAAGCCATATGGTTAAAAGCAAGTACCAAGTAAATTAATTTTTCTATTTTAGTAATGTGAGGAGTGCTTGTACAATCTCCACATGCCAGCCAAAGGCTTGTGTTAAAAGTGCTTGACAATAATAACATAAATTATGCTAAAAAAATCTGATCCCGAATAAAAAATCCTTGGCACCAAAGCACAATCCAAGTGTCCTTAATAACAAGGACTGACACAGAGGCATATAAACAATACAGTCAATTACATTTATAAAGTGCATTGGATTTGCATTTTTTAACAATTGAAATTATTGAATTATTGAGATGGCAGAAATGAAAAATGAAAATGAAAATGAAAATGGTCGCAAAAGAAGTTTACCAGCCGTGTTGCTTGTAACTGCTCCACGAGGTATGTCTGTTGTAGTGTGGGGTAATCCAACAAGTATGGAATGTAAGGTGAGTAGACTGCATCAACCAGCGTATTCACAGCATGCACACTACATTTGTCTGGTGTCACAGGAAAATAAAGATATAATCAATTTTCTGTTTTCATGGAAAACTCTAGATGGGAGTTCTACTGCAGGTGATAAAGAACAGAACAGAAAAACAATGTTTTGTACTGTACCTTGTTGCTGCAAGACTGCTTTTTCCAAACCATGAGCAAAGCGTAAAGTTACCTGACAAGGAAATAGAAGTTTAATATGATAAGTTTATGACTGGTTTTACTAGATAAATGACAAGATCTTTGGCTACAACACAGCCAACAACACACTACACATCATGAGAAATTAAAACATTATTTTCTTCACAAATTGTGTACATGTAGGCAGCTATTGTGGAAAATGTCAACCTTCCTGTAATAATTTACTTGCCTACATGTTACAAGATCTCTAATGAGGAACTGTGTAGCAAGACAGACAGTAGGAATTTAAATGTCCCTTGAGATTAAGGATCGCACATTACGATGGTTTGGTCATGTACTGAGGATGCTCATAAAGAGATAACCAAAGTTGCCTTGGGGTGGACCCCAACTGGGAGAAGAAAGAGAGTCAGGCCAAAAACCACCTGGCAGAAGATGGTGTTGAAGGAGCTGGAATAGATGGGACAGCACAGGCTAAGGCATGGCACAGGGTTCAGTGGCAGGGTATGATTGCAGCCTTATGTCCCAGCTGCGACTAAGAGGTTAAGTAGGAAAATGTGATGATGAAGCACTCTCACCTGTCTCAGCGCAATCAGTTTTCCTATGATATTGGACTCATTCTTTATAAACTCTGTGATACATGATGACAGAGATGGGTCTAAGTGAGCAAGTGTTTGGCTAATGAGTGTGCACAGCACAGTTCCAGGCTCATTAAAGACTTGCCCACACCATGTCACCTGTAAAAAATGTATACTTAGAGATTACTAGAAATAGCTCAACCAGTGATTCGCATTTTGTTGTTTGTCTATCACTAGTTTGGTGTACAAATATTTGTAGCATGTTCTCACTATTGACTAATGATGTATAAACAAATATTATGATCAGCTTGCCTTATGGTGGAGATTTTATAGGAGCTACATCTCAACATGTAAATTACAGTTGGATTTCAGTATGATTTTCTACGGATAACAACTAGTTTTTCAGATGGAAGATTTTAATGGTAGGTGGTTAATGACATGCTACTGTTCTGTTATTCCTGGTTTACACAGTAAGTATAGGTTCATTAAACTTGATTTGGCCACAGTAGGAAAATTTTGCTTTCATTTTAGTCACATACTTGGTAGCATAGTTGATTACATCAATGTCAACCCAAGTGTGCACTTGGTGTGTGTTACACCATGTAAATATGTCACACCTTCGCACAAGCACCTATTGCACAGCATGCACAAACATGTAATTAGCATAGAGCACAACCACCACACTTTTGTATAAATTAGGCGGTTATCTGAATTAAAAACGTTCAGTTTTCCATATCCTAAACCAAATAAATAACATGTGTAAACCATGCCATATTCACGCAAACTACTGTATGATCCACAGTCCAAAATCATTTAAGTCTGACTTGTTCTTGGATTTTTAAACAACTATTCAGTAGAACAAGATTCATTGATAGTCTTGTTCACAGTGTACCTCTGTGTGCCAGGTGGAAAGGATAACATCATAGAATGTTGATAGCCACTCCAGCATTGATTTATTTGGATCCTCAACACGAACTTCATTCCAAGTCTTTTGGAGTTTCGTCTGTCGATTTAGAGTTTGCAGATAAATTATCAACCTATAGCACTGCTTGGAAGTACTGTTTTTCTTTGCTTTTGTTTACATTACACACTGCAATAAACAATTTATTGTAATAAACATGACTGGGCAACTTAGAAAATGTTTATAAATGAAACTGCAACATAATACTATATGTTTGTCATGATTTTAATTATTAGAAACTGATAATTCAATGTTGAGTTACCACTATAGCTAACCTTGTGGCATCTGATGTAATAATTCTGAAGCTGATCCAGCCTTTCAATGTTTGAAAATATTTTAACATATTCTTTGGTGTCATCTGCAACAAAGTAATAAAGGAACTTGGAGCATGCATTAATATCATGGCACATGTAAAATCACAAGCAAATTATATGATTTATTGATTTTGATCCATATGAAGAAAAGCTTTCAAAACTACAGATACTTCAAACACACCAAGCTGCATTTCAGCCAAAGCAAGAAACTAACAAAACTCAATAATTAACATTTTTTCCTGAGAAGGATACAATGTACCCTGTGAGCCCTTAGAAAAAACCTACATCATACAATACAATACATATGATGCTTTTTAAAGACATTATCTTTACCAAGAGAATGATTATTAAAAGCAGACACGATCTTAGGACTTAGAAGTGCCTCCAGCCGGTTCTTCAGTCCTTCAAGGAGTCGACGCCTCTGAGCATAATCAGGGACATCTTGTAAGACAGTCTATTAATAAAAAGAGATAAGTAAACTACTTGGACATTTATTGCATGACTGTGATGTCTAACAGTCAAACTTGTACTATAAACTTGCACTTAATAGTGTAGAAATATTCCAGTATAGAGATTCCAGGGCTTGACACTAACGGTAGCCAACTAGCCACAGACTAGTAGAAATTTAGTTTTGGCTAGTAGGTTTTCGATTTCCACTAGCCACTTTGGCTAGTCAACAAAATGAAATTGGCTGAACTAGTTTCTGTCTCCTTTAAGGACGACAAACACAAAATTTATACTTTTCTCGGAAACAAGGTCAGAATTTCATTGTGGGATAACATTTCATTTAGCATAGTTCAATACATGGGTGATTTGTGGTTGTATGCATACTTACAAACTTGACACTACAGAAATAATAAGATGAGAAAGATTTATTTCCTTCAACATTTAAACCAGCCATTGTTTGCAGTTGAATTTTCCAACGACAGTTTACAGTATTGTTCAGATAGTTGTTTTGCTTTTGAAACATTTCTATGGCGCCTGTCTGTGAAGAAGTCTCAACAGTTTTTACAGTGATGTCTTGGGGGTCTCGATATTTTTCCAAGAAAGTCTCAGAGAAAAACAGAGTCCTGAAAGTCTTTTCAGCAACTGGAACTTTTTTGAAACTAATTTAAGTAGAGTATAATTATTACCAACGTTATGTATTAAACAGAATCGCTTGCATTGTGCTTTCAAGTCTTATAGCAATTCTGTTTTTATTGGACCTACCTGAAATTTTTGCGACACATTAATTTTGCGAATTTCACAATTTAAAAAAAATCCCAAAATTAAAGTGACATGAATAAGTAAGTGTCAGGAACATAACACATTATGTTACTGTTGACATACAGTACCACCATTGCGTTTTTGTTACTTTTGACGATAATTTGTACCTTTGATAAAGTCAGTTTACTAAATTCAAAGACATGTTTAAGTAACATTGCCAAGGAAATAAATTTGGTGTTACTCAAAAACGTGAGGTTAAAGTGATTCAAAATACNCCACTTTGGCTAGTCAACAAAATGAAATTGGCTGAACTAGTTTCTGTCTCCTTTAAGGACGACAAACACAAAATTTACACTTTTCTCAGAAACAAGGTCAGAATTTCATTGTGGACATATGGAAATTTTTTTTATGCGCAAAATAGTGCAGAACTGTAAAGGGATAACATTTCATTTAGCATAGTTCAATACATGGGTGATTTCTGGTTGTATGCATACTTACAAACTTGACACTACAGAAATAATTAGATGAGAAAGATTTATTTCCTTCAACATTTAAACCAGCCATTGTTTGCAGTCAAATTTTCCAATGACGGTTTACAGTATTGTTCAGATAGTTGTTTTACTTTTGAAACATTTCTATGGCGCCTGTCTGTGAAGAAGTCTCAACAGTTTTTACAGTGATGTCTTGGGGGTCTCGATATTTTTCCAAGAAAGTCTCAGAGAAAAACAGAGTCCTGAAAGTCTTTTCAGCAACTGGAACTTTTTTGAAACTAATTTAAGTAGAGTATAATTATTACCAACGTTATGTATTAAACAGAATCGCTTGCATTGTGCTTTCAAGTCTTATAGCAATTCTGTTTTTATTGGACCTACCTGAAATTTTTGCGACACATTAATTTTGCGAATTTCACAATTTAAAAAAAATCCCAAAATTAAAGTGACATGAATAAGTAAGTGTCAGGAACATAACACATTATGTTACTGTTGACATACAGTACCACCATTGCGTTTTTGTTACTTTTGACGATAATTTGTACCTTTGATAAAGTCAGTTTACTAAATTCAAAGACATGTTTAAGTAACATTGCCAAGGAAATAAATTTGGTGTTACTCAAAAACGTGAGGTTAAAGTGATTCAAAATACAAAATTCTAGCAAAATTGCTGCATTTAAGTGTCACAAAATATGTGCACCCCTAAATTGCAAAATAAACGTGTTGCAAAAATTTCATGTAATAAGGTAGCCAACCTCAACGCTTGCCTAGTACAAAAAAGGTTTTGGCTAGTAACATCTAAAATATCACTAGCCACTAGGCTAGTAAGTTGAAAAGTTAGTGTCAAGCCCAGGATTTAAACCATTAGAAGGAAAAAACTACATGTAACCAAAGGTAAATCATACCACAAGGAATATATAATTACATGTATGTACTTACCAAACTCTTGTGCATTCCTTCAAGCTTTGCTGCTATCTAAAATTGGAAGGCAAAGATCAATTACTTAGGATTATCATTTTAACTAGTTTTAAAACAAAGAAAGGTTTCCTAAACAAAGTACAGAAATGCCCAAAATTTGTACAAGGAGCAGTACAACATGTACAACATTTTTTATACTCACAGCCTTAACATCCCCTGATTCAAAAACTTTATCCACATCAGATGACAGCACTGTCCAGTTATCTGCTTCCTAAAAGTAAAATTGCATCAAGAACTGAACAAAAAGTTCCCTTTACCCTTTAATTCCTAAACGTGGTCTCATTCTAGTATCAGTAATACTTCAAAAGGTGGGTAAACAGGTGATAAAAAATAACAAAGTCAAGGTAGTTAACTGGGAGAGAGTTAAAGTTTGCTACATGCATCTCGAACTTGATGACTTTAAGCTCCCCACTATCTCAAAACCTATAGAAATGCAAATCATTTTCCATTGGTTAAATTATGAGCTTTTGAGAATCATCTTCCTTTAGAGGCAACATATGTGGTGTCTTGCAACAGGGTTTTTTATCAAAGGGGGCTGTTATTGTAACCCAGTGACAGCTGACCTGACAAGCGTGTAGGGAACACCCCCTTATACTGTAGCTCCAGCACAACAGCATGGCTGTTACCATCTTGTAGACCTGTACAGATGGTAACAGTCACCATCCATCATGTTACCATCTGTACAGCTGTACCATTTTGCCCAGTTAACAAGTCTGGAACCATTGACTATTCGACTTGTACAGTGTAACAAGGACAGAAGGTCACTGAACAACACCAGTCCCAGCTTTTGAGAAGTGAGAAGTAAGCCTTAGGACACTTTAATGTTAACATTTTACAGTATTCAGATCAGTATATTAACAGTTTACAGTAGGATATACACTATACCTTCAAAGCCCTTGATGCATCCTGCATTCTTGTTTTCACTGTGTCAATCTCCATCAACATCTTCATTGACTGGGCTGTGTTTTCTTCAACCTTAAAAGTAATAGTCAATTAATTATTTAAAACTACAGCATGTTGAAGCTACAATACAAAGTGTTACGGTGTTTATGTACATGTACATATGTATATATAAATGACTGGAATAGTCTGAATAAGTGTTCCTCCACTAAAACGTCACCCCCTGACCTATGTTTGCAGAATTATAATTTCAAAATGACACTCTCATGGGTTGAAGACCTGTTAATTCACATAAGTTGGATTTCACTGTGTGCAGTACTTATCAAACATGATTTACTTACTATATTATAGCACATTTAAATGATTGTATTTTTAATTTCAAGAGCCTCGATATTACCACTCGGATGTCCTCCTTCACAAGATTCATTTGTTCTTTCAGCAGCGATGCATCATGGCGTATGTTCTCTATCTCTCTCAGAACTCTGATGGGTGAACAAAAGTGATCTAAGATTGTAATTTATAATGTCAAGCAATTTTCAATGACCTACAGTAATCATGACTAACTAAAGGCTCAATCTGTTCTAAAAAAAACTGAAAATTAAATAACATTTGATAGAGTACATGTATATTTATCAATAAAGTGAATAAAGAACTTCATCTCTCGGGGAAAGATTATTAATTTTTTTTTTCATTCTTTGATTCTCATAATAATTCCAACAGTTCTCTTATACTATTGTGCCAATAGTACTGTACCTTGGAATGTTGTTCACTGATTGATTGCTGGTTTCCTCCAAGGCATTGTTAACTTCCTAAAAATAAAGTACCACATTTTATGTTGAAATACCAGGAAAGAAAGTTATCACACAAAAAACAGAATTGTGCAACATTGCTATAATTTATAACTGTAAATAATATAAATCAGGAATGCCAATTTGTGAATATTAACATGAAAATAAAAATATTTCCATGCTAGTCCATTACAGGGTCACCCCAATATTAGTACTGTATTTGATATGCTGTTACTTATACCTCTACTTTATAAACCTGAGTAAACACAGGCACTGAGAGAGTCAACTGTCCTGCCCATAACTCAATGTCCCTGACCTATAAACCTGAGTGAACACAGGCACCGAGAGAGTCAACTGTCCTGCCCATAACTCAATGTCCCTGACCTATAAACCTGAGAGAACACAGGCACCGAGAGAAACAACTGTCCTGCCCATAACTCAATGTCCCTGACCCATAAACCTGAGTGAACACAGGCACTGAGAGAGTCAACTGTCCTGCCCATAACTCAATGTCCCTGACCTATAAACCTGAGTGAACACAGGCACCGAGAGAGTCAACTGTCCTACCCATAACTCAATGTCCCTGACCTATAAACCTGAGTAAACACAGGCACCGAGAGAGTCAACTGTCCCGCCCATAACTCCATGTCCCTAACCTATAAACCTGAGTGAACACAGGCACCGAGAGAGTCAACTGTCCTGCCCATAACTCAATGTCCCTGACCTATAAACCTGATTGAACACAGGCACCAAGAGAGTCAACTGTCCTACCTATAACTCAATGTCCCTGAACTATAAACCTGAGTGAACACAGGCACCGAGAGAGTCAACTGTCCTGCCCATAACTCAATGTCCCTGACCTATAAACCTGATTGAACACAGGCACCAAGAGAGTCAACTGTCCTACCTATAACTCAATGTCCCTGAACTATAAACCTGAGTGAACACAGGCACCGAGAGAGTCAACTGTCCTGCCCATAACTCAATGTCCCTGACCTAGGCACCAACCTGGACAACTTAATCTGGAATTCCACACTCTAACCTAACATTACATGAGCGCCACTGTATAGCATGGCTTCCTAAATAGTCAGTCTTGGGACTTGGTAACTCTTGGATAATGAACACAATAGCCCCCATTTGACTTTAAAAATATGTTCAGATATTTGTCCTTGGACATTATCTGTCTCTACAAAGTTCATGTTTTTTCTCAAGCTCTGCTCTCAGGAAACTGTTTGCTTCTTAAATCAGATAATGTCTGCAGACAAATATATCCGAGCATATTTTCATGCCAAATGGAGGCTGTTGTTTATGCATTATCAAGGCCACTGCAGGTAAAGAGAATGTACTACATGTACAGTACAGTGTATCTGTTTGTGAGTTTACGTTGGCCTTTTTTACAAACCTGGATAAATAACTGTAATTTCATGACCAAGTTTGACGCATGTGCCTGAAAGAAAAATAGCTAAACTAATTCAAACGTTTCATTAGGAACTACTTCTAATCAACCACTTTCAAAGACAACACTTCATGCAATCTTTCTCGACAACAGCAATCTTCCTCAGAACTGAAACTACCTGATTTTGTCATTTGATCATTTTTGCAGATCATGGTGAGAATCATGTAGGTGAAAATGCTTCAAACTTACTATCAAGAACCTTCATGCAGGTCTTAACAACGTTTTCTTTAACAATTAAAAACTATTAAAACACTGTCACGAAAGCCAGGTTAGGTCCCCTTCAACAATTCCTCTTCATGAATAGTAATGTTTTGAGAAGCCCTTTTCCTCTTCCCAAGATGATAAATCATTTACCATAATGCACTTAATCAACGACGAGTAAGTATCCAGAGTAAGTCATACAGTGTATATTTCCGTCGTTTCATATATATATAAGAACTAACATATTTCATTTTATAGTCTATAATCAAACTAAGGTACTTACTACATTGCCACCTCAAAAATAAACGTTAGATTTTCCATGCGTAGTAACAGATTACATGAAATGACATTTCAAAAAGATACTCGATCAGCACATCTCCAATATATGCGCTTACAAACAGCTGAACATCATGCAGTAATCTATGGATCATGCATAAACAACAGTAAGCTTACACGTCGCAAACCATAAAACTTACGTCAATAGGCGTTCGATCATCGCGGATTCTGAGCGCCGAATTCACCCACTCTTTAACATCAAAGTTCTCATCAGAGAACTTGGAAAAGTCCATTTCGTTCGGACAAAACAAAGCAAAATATAAAAGAAAACAATAGTGCCAACTCACAACACATTTGCCGCCATTTTGAAATACAGGTACGTACGTGGTATAACGATCATATAGTGGTCATCCGGTGGTCGGTTTGCGATATTTGATACCACGCGATGCTTACACCACATGGTTACCCAGCTCAGAGAGTTACCGCTGTTCCTTGAGTGCTGCCCAGTCTTGCCCAGTCTCCAACCGTTTCAAAATGGCGGCTGAACTGCGTGCATTCCATATGTAGGTTCACTTTAGCTGAAAAAAAGATGTCTGTGGACGCAAGATTACCAAAGAAAAGGAAAAGGATATCAGCTTTAGCTGGGTTTGAGCCAAGGCATATTGTCTCCCCTGGAGATGTCATAACAGAAGACACTGGATACATGAGGTAATCAAAGACATCAAACTGCTGCTGTGAATAGTCCGTGTGCGATTGACAATTTTTGAATTGAAGATAGAGCTTATCGTTACTTCAAGACTAAGTTAGTTTGTATAAATTCCGAGATGGCATCTGCAGTATCCACATAATATCAGTTTCTAATTTTCAAAATTTGGGAAAACTGGATAAATTATAAGCTTATATCAAATAGCTTCAATAGGAACATTTCCCAAAACTGTAGATATACTTTAACTAGCTTGCTCTTTTGAATTTCAGAAGGGCTATTGTAGAATGAAGTGTAGGCGTTATAAAGGACAGTGAAACCTCTATTAAGCAGACCCCAAATTAAGCAGACACCCTCTATTAAACAGACACTTACCCTGGTCCCGAAATTAACATGTTATATTTCTCATTATAACGAACCCCTCTTCAGCGGACACCTCTAGTAAGCAGACACGGACACTAAAATAAATTGTATTTGGCTAATTTCTATTATTAAAAACCTCTACTAAGCAGACACCAGACTGAATTGACAATGTGGCATTGGATTATGTCTTTGAAAATAGTCGATTAAATGTACCTGTGTTATCGTTGCTGTACGGAAAGGGCATTATTACAAACAAATTAAAGTTGCTAATGAAATCTGATGAAACTGAATTCTGGATAGCTTCCTTAGAAACCTGGAACTTTATTACAGTACAGAGGAACCATTGAATGTTAATTGTTCACAAACATTGTGCAATTGTGATAAACCTTTATTAAGCAGACACCCTCTATTAAGTGGACACTTGGGAAGGTCCCGAGGGTGTCTGCTCAATAGAGGTTTCACTGTAGTACAGATTTCAAGCTGAGGTGGGATATTTTTCCTCTTTAGGGGCCATGGTACTTATGTCGATGGTGACAAACTGATAGCTTCAGTTGCTGGGGTAGTTGAGAGAGTGAACAAATTGATCTGTGTACGACCATTTAAAACAAGGTATACCATCACTTATAATAAAGGATTTGCCACCTTGGTTTGCACCTTTGGCCCCCCATAAACTTTCTCTTCAGTGCTAATACTCCTTGAAAAACACACACTGTACCCCTGTTAACAATACTACATGTATCAGCCTGTGAGGCACTCAGGTGCAGAAGATCAAAGAAGGGAACTGAACAAGTGTAAAGGGAGAAGAGAGGGAACAGTGCATATACCAATGCATTAATCAGTGTGTTCTTGAAGAGCACGCCATTGACCAACTGTTGCAAAAGGCCTATTACTGTTATAATAAATAATTTTGGTTTGGTTATTGCAGTAGAGTTGATGTTTTACATTACAGGTACAATGGAGAAGTGGGGGACGTTGTTGTTGGTAGAATTACAGAGGTGAGCAGAAATCTACAGTATAAAAGATTGGCCAACTACTGCATAGAATAGCAAATGATGGTCACAATGCAACAATTGGCATTGATTGTAATCATTGTATCTTCAAGGAGCTATGCCATCATGGATTGTTTAATTGCAAGTTTTTGGTTCAAAATCAGTGTCAGTTTTCTTCAATAGCCCTTTTCACAGGTAACATTATTCATTTGCATTACAATGTAATCCAACATGGATATGAGGCAATTTTGGGCAGAAACTACAAAATTGCCCAGAAGTGCCTCACATACTTGTTGGCTTATTCTGTAAATGTAAATGAGAAAGGATGACTGTAAGAAGGCAATTACAACCTTCTTTGTTGTTTTTTGGTCTGTTAAACATTTTATTTTTACCAAAGGTGCAGTAATGGAGTTTTATACAGAGGTGATACATGTTACTGATTTTTTTGAAGGTTGGACAGAAGAGATGGAAAGTGGAAACCTTTTCAAGGCTGGACTCTGTTTTGCTTCTTTCCTCAGTAAATTTGCCTGGTGGTGAACTGGTAAAAAACACATTCCCTAATTCCTGTTTATGCTGTTAATTATTTCCTCATAAGTTTCCACCACTACAGTGAAACATAGGTACACCATAGATGTATACTAATAATAATAAAGAACCCATTTATAATGAGTTTCCATCATAGAGGACAATAATCTTCAGCTTGGGCCCAGCTTAGTTTGACTGTTTGTTTTCCAACAGAGGAGACGATCTGCTGAGGATGAATTGATGATGCGTCATTTCCTTGCAGAGGGTGACCTGATTAGTGTATCCTTTTGAAATCTACTTTTCTCTGAGTCTTAAATTTACAATCAGCTTCATTAGCATTCTCCTTGACTACAGTCCAGGCAGAAGTGCAGTCAGTCTATAGTGATGGCTCACTTTCATTACACACTCGCAGTCTCAAATATGGAAAGGTTGGTATGGACAGACACATTTTCGAAAAAATATGCCACAGACGTAATAGTGAAAAAGAGCATAATAATAATCATCAGTCCTTTAGATGCCAAGTGGCCAGCCTCCAACAAATTTTGACTTACATCTCGTTCCACTTCTCAATTAAATATTTAGTTTCAAATGATTTTTTTTAACATTTCATTTCTGTACACAATCTACCATTAATAGCTTCAGACGTTTCATTTTTCTTGCTCACTCTCCTCTCTTTCCCATAACGTTCAATGATTTAGTAGATGATTGTGCCTTCCACTTCACAAACAGTAGCACCTCTGTTGTCACCATTTATTTTGATATCATACTGGTGTTGCAAACTCATAATTTATGGTATTCTAGGGTCTAAACGTTACCTCCGAGCAAGCTTCGCAGCTTGAAAAAGACTGACATGAACTGATGCCCTGTGCTCCACTTGGCGTCTAAAGGACTGATGATGATGACGATGATGATGATGATGTTACTGTGCATTTTGTTGCAGCTCAAAGAGGGCAGTCTTGTTCAAGTGCCACCTTCTTTAGTAAAACGCTGTAAGACTCATTTTCTCAACCTTCCTTGTGGGGCCACTGTTATCCTGGGTAACAATGGCTATGTTTGGATTAGTCCTTTGGACAATGAAGATGCTACACTCGCAGACGGCCAGACTGAAAGGCTAGCAAATGATGATACAGCAACTAAAGAGGTTATTACAGATAATGAGCAGGATTTAGAATTATAAGCAGAATATAGTGTTAATTTTCACTGGCTCTTTTCATATCTCAGTTCAGGGAAGAGTTGAACAATTTTACTATATTTCTCAGTTTCTATGCGTGCTGTAATTGATCAATTTAGCTGGTCGTATTCTACTGTACGGCCCGCTATTTTATAGTTGTTTTTGTTGCCAAAGTGGTCCATGATTAATCGCCAAGTGTTCTTAACTTTTATAACTGTAAAACTTCCTTTTATTTTAAATCGTGTATTGAAACGTGCTAACGACTTAACAACGATTTCAAATTGACTTGTTTTGCTTTCGGTGTGCGTCAAAAATTTGAAGCCGTTCCGCCTGAATAGTAATCGTTCCCAAACCTGTCAGACACACAGAGGAGGCATAATATATATATCTTGACTTACTAACCTAGATTCAGGTTCGAAATGTTATACGTTCTGACAAGTTTAGTGCACATTTCTAAAGGCAATGACAAATTTTCGTGTAATCTAAATAACCTGGAAGTGTTCGATTGGAAAATTATCTCAAAATGTTCGATCCCAGTACAACAATACTGTACCAAAACATTAAACAAGGTTTACATTTAAAGTCAGCTTATGTTTTTTTTTTTTTTTTTTTTTTTTACTGACTTCACTGTTGTTGTAGTAAGATCACAAGTGGAAGCCTCAGGCCACACTACGCCGGAGGAATTTGTAAACGCTGGCTCTATTTCTACGAGTTGGCCCTTCGTGCACACTAATCCGTCACGAAAGCGCAGCTTTTCGAAAACGCTCTTCATACCGGAGAAATTTGAAAACACTGGCTTTGCGTTTTAATGTGGACGGAAAAAATTCTGAGAACGGAGCTTTTAGAAGACTACCTACCCGAGTTTTCCTCAAACACAAATCCCCAATGACCGGTGAGTTTTGTGTTTTCAAATTCCCCCGGCGTAGCGTGGACGGAAAGCATTTGATACGTTTTCAGAGTGAAACCTCCTTTTTCAGTTTTCACCGGCGTAGTGTGGACGGAGCCTCACGCTTAATGTTTCCGCCACTGATTTTATTTTATGTTTTAAAGTTTACTTGGTGTAATCCAGCATCATGAATTATTATCATTACCGACAGAATAAAGACGTGTAAATGGATCTTAGTAGTAATTTAATGTAACCTGCGTTATACGTTGAACGTTCCAGATTCAAGACTCAGATCGTGAGATAATAGCCCGACTTCGTAACTGTGTGGTAACACTTACAGATCATGGCGTGATGTTATTCAACACTTCATTGCAATATGCTTATGACGCCTCTTTGAAGCACTCGGTAAGCAACCTCGTCAGGTTTGGTTTATGCATCTTTGACTAAACCTTACCCTAACTGACAGATGGAGATAAACAAGGAAAATCCCTGAAGGCAGTGGAGGCCGATTTCATTGGAGCACATCCTTTACCCTGTGTATACGAAGTCTAATATCTTTGTTTGTTTGTGTTTTCAGGTAAAAGAATTGCTGAAACCTGAAATCCAAGAAGAAATTGCTGACACTGTTCGTCAACGCCTAATACAAGAACTGTAAATCATTATCTTTATTCTAAGTTTAAATATAAACCACAGTACACAGTATAGAGTCCTAAAGTGATGACGTCACAAAAATAAAATTTTTGAAATTATGGGATATGATGTCATATTCTTATAGAGGATCCTAAAAGATCCCTCATCCCAAAAATTAGCTCTGAATTGCAATTTCCGATAGAGATATAAGGGATCAAAGTTTGATAGCATCCCATACAAACCCTTCAAAATTTGTTTCAGTTCCTTCAGTTTAGAACTGACTCAAAATTAGAGAGATTTATATGGGGCTGTACCAAATTTTCATCCTTTATATTTCGGCTGGGAATTAAAATTAAGAGGTAATTTTTGGCAAGGACCCTTTTTTAAGGACGCTCTATTCGAAAATGGCGCCAAATCCCATAATTTCTCAAATTTATTTTTAGTGACGTCACACTTTAGGACTCTATAGATTAAAGAGGAGACTTGCTGTTAATTATGATAAAAAGGTAAAAGGTTTAAAGCTGTGTTTTCAAATTTCTCCGGGGTAGTGTGGACGGGCCTTGGGGGCATTTACCGTGCCCAAATTCGCAACTAGCCAATCAGGAACCGCGTCTTCTGCCCTGATATCCTGCGTTATCAAGTCACTGGCCTGATATAGCTACGATATCATGTTCCCTTGGCCGAATTTGGGTACGGTAAATCAAGTCAAGTCAAGTCATCTTTATTTGTGAGACTCCCAAAACGGCTGGAGATCGATCCTAGAGTTTGGGATGCCTGTGATTGTGTCACCCGGCGGCAGGCTTCCCGCCCGTTTTTCCCGCCAAAACACACCAAGTAATCACTTCACTCACAAAACAGCTTCGCGAGTGGCGGCTTGTTCTAGTTTTACTACATGCTGCGTGTTTCGCTTTGAAACAGTTTTTCAATTTACGAAATGAAAGTTGAATACTGACAGGCGTAGCTTTAAGAAGAATGACGCATCTGGCGCATGCTTTCAGTTAATATTCAGGTGAGCATAGAAACGTGGTTAAATGTTGAGTAAGTTTTATAATGAATTTGGAACAGGGAATTAAGTCATAAGAAAGTCAAAGAAAGGTTTAGGTTAATCAAAGAGAAAAATACGAACGTCGAAAGAGACATACACTATTGTGTTGTAATATTTAACTTCTTCGTAAGCTTTATATCTCGAAGTAATACTCATTATTCAAGTCTTTATTCATTCTCTACCTTTCAGTAACTGTACAATAAAGAGGAAAGATACCCAAAAGTGGAGTATTAGATCAGCCGTTCACATCACTCATACCTAGAAAACCACCAAAATATGAATAAAATTAACACGCATCGTATTGCCAGGCAGGCAACATGCTAACCTGCGCGAGGAAAAGATGCGAACCGTTCATCCATGCTTTGTGTTATGAGGTGATATGCATGCTTCTGGTGATGACTGATATAACGTTGGTTATAAAATATGCTCGTTAATCAAGGATAAACGATTATATTTTGAAAGGTGGAGTTAAGCAATTTCTAGAGCAAGAAAACCAAGAAACGGTGAAGGTAGAAGCAAGTTTAAGCCAAGAATAGGGAAAAGTNTACGATATCATGTTCCCTTGGCCGAATTTGGGTACGGTAAATCAAGTCAAGTCAAGTCATCTTTATTTGTGAGACTCCCAAAACGGCTGGAGATCGATCCTAGAGTTTGGGATGCCTGTGATTGTGTCACCCGGCGGCAGGCTTCCCGCCCGTTTTTCCCGCCAAAACACACCAAGTAATCACTTCACTCACAAAACAGCTTCGCGAGTGGCGGCTTGTTCTAGTTTTACTACATGCTGCGTGTTTCGCTTTGAAACAGTTTTTCAATTTACGAAATGAAAGTTGAATACTGACAGGCGTAGCTTTAAGAAGAATGACGCATCTGGCGCATGCTTTCAGTTAATATTCAGGTGAGCATAGAAACGTGGTTAAATGTTGAGTAAGTTTTATAATGAATTTGGAACAGGGAATTAAGTCATAAGAAAGTCAAAGAAAGGTTTAGGTTAATCAAAGAGAAAAATACGAACGTCGAAAGAGACATACACTATTGTGTTGTAATATTTAACTTCTTCGTAAGCTTTATATCGCGAATCAAGGATAAACGATTATATTTTGAAAGGGGGAGTTAAGCAATTTCTAGAGCAAGAAAACCAAGAAACGGTGAAGGTAGAAGCAAGTTTAAGCCAAGAATAGGGAAAAGTAACTTAAAATTTAACACCGGGCAAATAGGAAATCTTCAGCCATAATGCCGATACTTTTTTCCTTTTACGCGCGATAGAAAGTTATAGAAATACCGAAAATAGAGAAAAGAAGGACAAAAAAAGATCAGAAACTAATCAAGACAACCAAAAAATAAGTAATTCCTTGTTCGCTGGTCCAAAACTCCACCCGGAGAGAGGTTATTCGGTCCCGAGGGAGGGCTACTCTTCAAAGTTCTATACGGGGAGGCTCCGCCCCGAGGTCGAACCTCTTACACTTTTTTATCCCATTATTGACAGAAAAGGTACTCCCTTTCGTATGCCTTTAATTGAAAAAAGGTAGCCCTTTCACATACCTTCAAAACTGGTCTGTATTATGAATAAATCGTCAAAAAACGAAGTCTTGTCATTTTTATGTAGTGCCTAATAAATAAAATGATACAGCATAAGGTGAGTCTGTTCGAAATATTCAGTTAAAGGCCCTTTAAAATAACTAAATGACAGATTTCCTTACCATTTCAAATAGCTCACCTTGTGAAATCCCTACCCTTTTATACATCTGAAGCCTGAAAAAGGTACCCCTTTCGAATTCGGGCGGAGCTGGCCTCTCCGTATAGGCTATTATTGCATAAGCAAGCTTAAATTACGGGTTGTAGTGATTATGCCAAGGTATTTAGGTTGGTCGATTATCTGTTAACTTCCCATTCCAACTGGTTTTCGGGCGCATATATCGTTTTACTTCTCTAGGCTAAAAATGGAACTTTTATTTGAAATAACTTCAAATTTAAACTTTTGGTTAAATTGTTGATCAAGGAAAGTATTAATCGCACTGAAGCGTTCGAGAGTACGTCACACAACGGTGACGTAGATGCTGCGCAAGGTTTACTGAAGTCACGAAAAGGATGGCTAATATTTGTCAACAATGTGTTTCTGGTGTGGATATAAAGTCCGGAGAAAATATCTTTGTGAAAGTTTACTGTCAGAATCATTATTTTCAGTTCAAGAAGCCTTGGTTATTGCTTATTCCTCCTTAAAATAGTAAGTATTTTTTACGGTAAGAGCAATTTCCATATTACGCAAGGTAGCCCATATCAATCATCATTCACTGGGTAATTTACCGGTGTGATCTTCGGTCGCCTATCCAGAGATCCGAACAGCATGAGAGATCGTCTAAACTGAAGCACATTGTTATTTTTACCCATAATGCAGTTCGGCGCTTGGCCAACCGTTGTAGCTCATAGAGCACTTTGATTGTAAACCGTTGAGTTTGACTTTCAACAACCTTGAACTACTCGTCGGCATGCTTTATTTCATGAAACTGTGACATATAAACGAAAGCCGGATCAACGGTTAAGAATACTGTGTTTAGGAATCAAGGCAATAGACTGCATGTACTATTGACAGTGGCTGTGGATAAGGTTTCGTAATCTTAGCGCCTACTGGACAATAATGCTTGAATATGAAAGTGAAGAATGATCATCGCAGTAAATTTTCCAATTTAAGCAATTAGAAAGAAGAAGCCTGAAAAAAAATCAGGGCTTCAACGGGATTCGAACCCGT